CATGAGTTTAAAATAGATGGGATGGGCTTAATGGCTGCTTGTAAGCCTGCCAAAGCAAGGAGGCCGGGAGCTCAGGAGAACTAAGAGGGACTGTTTGAGCCCAGCCTTGCTTTCTAAATCCTGCCTTGTCCTCTGCAGCAAAAGTTAACAAAAAACAAAACAAAACAAAACCCTGGGCTGTGGATTCTTATCAGCGATGCCCATGCACTTGGTTCCTGCTCACACATAGCTAGCTAGTATCGTGGCTTTCCAAACAAGAAAATGGGGAGCTAAACTGATGGCATTGGGTACGGCTGGCAGTCAAACCTGTACATGTCTGCCACTCAGCCTCTTTAAAGGAGATGCTCAAAAGTCTTTTGATAATCCATTTTCTTATTCTTTCCACACTCCTCCTGAACGCAGCCTGATTAACACACGGCTGAGCAATCCAATTCATAGCCTTAGGGTGCAGCAGGAGCACACACCAAAAATAGGAGCAAGAAGAGCCAAACTTGCAGTTGCTGAATGCAAGAGGCAACTGCCACGTTCCCAAATTACCCAAATCTGAAGATACAAAAGAGCCACTGGCTCACTTGCATGCTTTCTTCATTCAGCCACCCAAAAGATCCAGATACCTGTGTATGCTCCACCTTTTGTCAGACAAGGCCTATCTGTGGATGAAGTTTCAACAGCAGTCTTGTCTTGTGGAACTTAAAGAAAAGATCAGTAGGTTTATCGCAGCATCAGCTTTTATAGAATGGAGCTCACTTCTTAAGATACAAGGAGTATTACTGTTAGCTGGCAGATAAATATGTCTGTGGAAAGGGAAACAGCAGGACCTAATAGTCTTTAAAGGAGATGCTCAAGAGGTGGTTTGTGGTCATCTAGTTTAAACTTTTACGTTACACCATTCACAACAGCACTAATGATACCAATAATGGTAGAGAAGGAACCATTGTCTTGATTGAAGCCTAAACACATAGATCTGGATTTGAGGCCAACAGGAACCCACCTAGGCAACTAAAAAAACTATCCATCAAGTTCTTACAGATGACAGCCCTTAGACTTTTGATTAGTTTGGCCTTATTGCTTACTACTGTAAGTGTACATTTCTACACATGTGCACACCTGTCTGCCAACATAAGATTTTATGCATCTGATGAAACAGGCTCTATTCCATGAAATTTCAGCTGTAATTCTATCTATCTGTATGTGTGTGTGTGTTCGTCCATCCCATAGGTATTAATTTAAAATAGAAATTCCAGTGTTTTAAAATTATGAATTGGTTTCGTACGAATGCTTTTTTAAACTCATGCTGTGATCTTTTAACTGATTGTGTATTTAAATTGTTTTATGTGTCTATTTATGGCTGTATTTTAGTTAGTTGTTCTCTGCCTCAATCCATAGGGAGATGCAGGTAAGAAATCATCATACCTTCAACTCCCGTAGGGTAGCACTTTGACCAATTAAGACACCCCTTTACTTTTTATGATGACAAGGGGGGTGACTGGCTAATAAGGTACAGCAAGAAAAGAGTTAAACATTTTTTAATTTTAAAAATAGCAAATTAAGCATAGTACTTGGAAACTACACCAGCAACAGGTTAGGAAACCACTAAAAACATGTCTGAAAGATGTGGACCTTTGGAGCATCCCTTGCATCAATGCCATCCAGTTTGGCAGGATTTTAAATGATATGCTAATACCAATATCCAGACTTTACAGTAGCATAATCAGATTGGTGTATTTTATGTTAGTTAATTCAATTACCATTACTAATTAAACATAATGAGTACCTCATATTTTAAAATTCTCTCTCCAGCTGAGCATTTAAAATCTGGGACCCAAAAGTGGAATTCTGGCCACATGATGGTGTTTCAGGTTTCTCTGAAGATGAGCAATGGGGAAATTTGTATGAATTTTGTATCTGTGAGCATGAGCCAACTGGGCTAAATGTCACAAAGATCTCCTGAAACTGATTCAACTTGCACTGTGTGCAAAGCAGTAAAGAAAATGGATTAGATGTCTCAACAGACCCTGCTTGCTTTTTCCTGGCATTATTACAAACTGATTAACTCCTGGGGGTAAAATGTTTTGCCAGTTCTCTGTACCTGACTCGTCTTGACAGCTTTCGCCACAGTTTTAAAAACAATATAAAATATAATGAATTCCTGCCCAAAGGAGACCAGGCACAAGGAGGGTATCTTGAGAAGTGCTTGGCTAGTATCCCACGCTGTTCCTGAGGAAAATAATGCAAGCGGGAGAGACACAATTTCACCTTCTTCCTGCAGTACTCTTAAAAAGGAGCTAGGAAACCTGCCAGAGAAGGCTACAGGGGAGAAGGAAAGGGGCCAAAGATCTTAACACTAGCATTATACTGGATTTAGACTTTCCTATGACTATAGTTATTAATGTGCACTAGAAAACGTATCTACATTAAGACCTGGTGTTACTGTGAATCGCATCACATGAAGGACCTTTTTGTAAATACTAAATTATTTGCCAGTTACACATTTACTTCTCAGTAATCAGTTAATTTATGGGCTTGTTTATGTGAATTTTCCACCACCGGGGGGGGGGGGGGGGGGGGGATTTAGGTGGCTCACATGCAAACCCAGCCCACATTTTCGTTGATGTATGGTAATATCTTTCTTTGGTAACTTCTAGCAGGACACATACGGAATTAAGAACAAGTTGTCAACCCACAATGCAGCTGCTTCTGAAAAAGAGAAATATGTGTTGCAGATTATCAAGGTATGTGCGTCATCTATAGAGCTGCTAACTTCAACAAGAGTAGACCTTCCGTAAATCTGTGGAATTTAAGAAGATGTTGACTTTAACATTCAATAATTGATTCAGTGGGTCTGCCCAGACGAGTAACAGGATTTAGATCTATATTGTCCCTTGATCAATCTGAAGTGTGGCCATATTGGGAAAGCAGTATGCCATTTTAGTAATTAGACCTGAAAAGAAAGGAATTGTAAAAAACTAGAAAAGATGGAGAAAATGGCAACCAACATGAATAAAGATCTCTTTATGAGGAAAGGTAACAACATATGCTTCTTAACTTACAAAAAAGGACTATCAAGTTGGGGGTGTGACTGAGGTGGATAAAATTATTCATCCAAATAAAATAAAATAATTTACAGTATTGAAGATATGGATACATTTTTGTTCTCTCCTAACACCACAGCCAAAGTTCACCCAATGAAAGATGTTATATCTACAGACTGAGGCCTATCTTCAAGGAGCTCATTAAATGACAAACTGTGTAACAAGATGTAGTGATGGCTGCCACCTTGGACCATTCTAAAGGGGGATTGGACAAAACCTTTTAAATTGCTAGTCGGAATTACTGTATTTTTAATCAGTATGAAAGCCGGTATGTCTCCAATATGTCACTTGTTGAGGAACATGAATAGTAGGCTGTTGAATTCATGTCCTGATATAGGTTTTGTATAGGCATCTGGATGACCACTGTGCAAAAGAATGCTACAATAGATTCTGATCCAGAAGAGCACATATTAAACCCATGTTCTTAAATCCATGAATTTTGGCCGACATCCATTTCAACAGTTACAAGATTGGAAACTGAACTTGCTATCTCATAACTGCTAGGGATTTGTTAAATAACAAATGTGACACTTCAAACTTGCTTTTTCAGCCTGATAGTACCTCAACCAAAGGTTTTCCAAGGCACTGTATCCCTCTTCTTTCCCAAAAGATTTAAACAGACTGCACCCAATCAAAGGTTATACTTATTGACATTTACAATCTATATCAATTATTAGGAATTTCAGGTATTAAAAACTGGTTGTACCCAACTATAATTGGGAAAATTCAAAACTTGGAAAAAATTAAACCTGGAATCAAAGGAGTGACAATTTAATCAGTGGTTACCAAGAGGTTCTGTTATCTCCCAGCTTCTCCCATTTGTCTGGAGTCAGCATATTCCAGTGCTCCACTAAAACAAAGCCAGAGGTAGAAAGAAAGGTAATCCTCTGCTGATGAGAAACATTAAAAATCAGTGACGGCATAAGGACAGAATTTGTAAAAGCCAGTGGTTTTTTATATACAGGCATAGATATTCTTAAGTAATCGAGGATTTTACTGGACAGCTGCTGAAGTACCAAGAAATAACACCTTAGACTTAATAGATAAATAATTGAAGTTGTGCTCAATCATGAACATACTGGTAGGCATGATTAAGGGTGGTTCCAAACAACACAATTGTAGCACTTTCAGGCTATGACAATGACTGGCTGCATTCTACACAAGGTTGAGATTTGTAGTCTAGGAAGCTTGCCTGAACATCACTGTAAGTCAGAAGGAATTTGAAGGCAAACAACAATGCCAAAGGCACTAGAAAGCAAAATTTAAACACCCCATAAAACTAGAAACCCCAGGATTCTGTAGGATGCAGTCGCTGCTGTTGAAGTGCTATCAAGTGTTACAATTGTTATGTTAATGATACAAAAAACTACACCACTCTCCTTCTGTAAAACAGGACTTCAAAGTCTTCATCAGGTTTTTATGAAAATGGATGATTATAATCTTATTCATTATAAACAAATGATTTGTAAGCAGTATAGAGAAAAGCACCTCAGGTCTTTGACGTCTGAGGCACCAGTACCCTTTTTCTTAGTATATTGTAAACAATGAAATGACTTGCAGTAATGCACACTATGTTCTTTCAACTTCACTCTGACCTTTTAAGAACATTTCTTTTTCCTCTGCTCACCAGGGAGGATTTAAGGCAAACAGTATTGTTTTGTGTCTGGCAAGCTGCTTTATTTTGCACATCTCCAATTTTGCAGAACCCTTTAAGCCAATACTTTACAGCCTGGAATTACACAAAAAAGAATGGGATGCACCATCTGAGTAGCCCAAGACTCAGTGGGGCTGTTTGCTTGCACTTTTTTTGCAGACTTCCCATGCAATAGGGGTGGGTGGGGTGGAGGGATGCTATGTGCTGGAGGGGATCCAGAGAGATCTAATGGAAGAGCGCATCAGCCTTCTGCGTTTGTAGTAAAGTACACTGGTTTATTTAGTTGATATGTTTCTTTACAGAATGCAGAAAACACATTTTTAAAATAATTATATAAGGACATAAAAACACTCAGTGGTTGGTGAACACTTTTAATACAAGATTCTCTCCCACCGTTACAGTGTCTAGTGGCATAAACAAACAGCACTGGTGCTTAGGGGGAAGGCGGCTGATGAGAATGTCATTGTTATTATTCCGTTCACTGCCCCTTCGCCTCCAGTTTCTATGGTGACAGGTAGGCCCAGGCCTGAAACCGTTTGCGCTTGCGCATGACCAGTATAAAGTGGTATCGGTTGCTAGGGACAACGGCACTGTTTGGAAGGCCCTTCGAACTTGCAGCATTTGGGCTTAGGAGGCTCTGCGTGTTGTTAAGTTGGAGACATCGGAAAGGCAGGCCTGTCAGAATAGGTTTTGGCACTCTGCTGCCATGGTTGCTCGCTAGGGGAGAGGGCCAACTTAGGACTGTGTTTCTAGCATCTGTTCAAAAGCAGTGTGCCCCAAGGGGTACTGGTTCATCCTGTTCCCTCCTCCAGGTTCTCCTGAGTGAGAAGAATCCATGGTCTCTCCCCATTTCAGACCTGTACCAGCATCCAAGCACCGTGAGGGGGGGGGGGCTCCGTAGGGCAGGCCTACACTCCTCTACACTAGATAAAGGCAAATCCCAAAGCCTTCTTTACAGTCACCCTCACTTCAACACATACTCCTCTGCCAGGTGGGCTGAAGAAAAGTGCAGAAGTCTTGTGGAGCCACAGCCAAATGAAGCTTTGTTTTGATAGGCAAAATCCTGTTCAAGTAGTTAAAAAAAGGCTTGATGGGAAAATGCCACCCTAGCAAGGTCAAGAGGTGGAGGTCGTTTTAGCCATTCATCCACTAGTGTGTTAACTGGCCATGTCAGCACACAAACATACTTTGCAAAAACAGTCAATATGGCTTAAAAGTGTCTGCTTTGTGTGCAAAGTCAGCCAGAGGCTGCCCAGCCCCCAGCCAGGGGATGGACTCATTATTGCAAAGGGTTTTTTCCTCCCTCTAATATACCAAAAATAGTCTCATGTGGATGAGAGAAAAATCCATGCGTAAAAAGACTGTCTCAAAGAAAAAAGGCATGGGAGCGACCTTGAGGGCAGCTCCAACTTCCCAGGAGAAATGTGTGGAAGTTCACTTTTTAAAAAGGCAAGAAACCTAGACATGGCTCTAATATTTAAAAACAATGATTATGAGACCAAAAAGAAAGGGGAAAAATTCCAAAATGAGCAAAGCAGTCAGTCCCATGAATTGATACTAAGAAGCTAAGCTCATACAAACTGCTGGCAGCGTTACTATTTTTAATTATTTTTAATAAAACAATTTGAGGCTGTATCAAAAATTTAGTATAAAATTAGAGCTGAGAGTTCACTGATTTTGACTATGAACTATTTCTGGCGTTTTTTTATTTTGCCGGCCGCCAGACAGCTACTATTGCGTCTGTGTGTGTGCGGAGGAGAGCGGTATGAGGGAGTGGGCTGGGACAGCCAGGCAGAACCGGGGAGGGAGAGGGGCTGTTCCAATACTGTGGTCCAGGAGGAGTCTGGATGGGAGAAAACTGCATTACACTACATAAAAAATATTGCATCTTCACCAAAATACCTCAAAGAGTGTTTCAAAAGCCAGAGAGCATGCCTTCCGGATGAAAAATCTCAGTGCAACATCATGACCCTTGCAGCCTGCACATACCACGGTTGGGCCTCCCCATTTCCAAAAGGTCACTCTGCTGCTGCTTCTTCTTCCTTTTTTTTTTTTTGGTAGTTGCAAAGAGCTCTCCAGACTTGTTTCTGAAAGAAACCTGTGGCATCCATTGAGCTACGGGAGGCAAGAGCGACAAGAGCTCATCTACAGTTTGCAAAAAGGACCCCCCACTGATGACTCACTGTATAATGTGTGAAAAAATAGGATTCCTTTGATAAAAAAGACAGTCCCTCAGCCTGATTGGCATTGGAAACACCCCTTGAGCTTATTTGTAGTAAAGTATTTCCCCTCCCTTTCCCCAAATCTATACGTACAAGTTTAGGTAACAGCAATTATATGTAAAAACGTAATGTTGACCTCAGAAAGTCCTCTGATTTTAATTTTTAGGCTACGTTTCATGTTATGCCCTGTAGCTAGACACACGTGAATAGAAAAAACAGTACAGTTAGTTTTAAAGGCAAACAGCAGAGACTCAGTGTGCCACCCCAGTGCTGCCTGCATGTCCAGCCAGTCTCCCTTTGCACAAGATGCTTTGAGACGCCTGCTGTCAGAAATACTTTTTGAGCCAAGAATTTCTTTTCTATGAATAAACAAAACATAAGCTGTTAGGCAAAAATAAAATCAGTGTCCCGAAAGTTCCACAAGCACTCTGGTGTAGCAAACGCATTCGGAGAGGACCTGCCGGGACCAGGCAATGTTTTCAGACTCTCTGTGTTGGTGTTCTAGTTGGTAATGGGTTTGCAGGCCACTGATCCCTACAGACAACACCGGTGTGGAACTAGAGGCCCCATCTCCGCCAGCGTCTCATGTTCATTAAGGAGGGACGTAGGGAGGTGGAGACCTGTATGGGGTCATGTTCTTCGGGCGGGAGCCTTTCCCCTCCATGGGTGCTGTGAAGGGAGGGGGAGGCTGGTAGGGAGGTGCATTGGGGTCCTCATCTCGCAGCGGTGTGTACTCCCCTATGGTGTCTTGGTTGAGTGGGGTGGTTTCTGGCATGTTCTGATTGGGATACTCGGGAGGTGGGAGTGGGGCCTTTTCTTCTTGCAAAATCAGCGGCATGCTGGAGGAAGGGGGAGGCTTGGAGTCATCAAGCTCATCAGCAAAAATGATTGGTACTCCCTTCTTGATAAAGGTGGCTTGGTCTTCAATGGTGAGCTTGCCCTTTCTCTTCTTGCGATAGCAGATCATAGCAATGATTCCAGCAATAAGCAGAATGGCCGCCACCACTACTGCAGGGATCACTGTGTGTAGGTAGACATCGTCCTCGCTTGTTTTTTCTGGATCCGGTGGAGCCACAACGGTAGGTGGTGCAGTTGTAGGGAGTCCCTCTCTCATCACAGGAATAAACTGAATGTGTCTGCAGCTACCAGCACCAACTACAGAAATGTTCATGGGCTTAAACTCTGGCTCTAAGGCATTTGTGAAGGCTGGACTTGGGCCACCAGAATCATCAGCAATTTTCTTACTCATAGTACGAATATCCTCTTTGGGGCATGGTCTCAAAGGTAGGGTATTGTTTGTCCACTCAACTACAATAGAGCCTTTGCCAATACTCTGAATTGTAAGAGTACTGCTGTTTCTGTCTCCAAGGGCAAAGGCCAACTTCTTTACCAACATGATTTTCTTATTAACATCATTGACAACTGTATTATAATCGCCCTGGAATCGGGCTTTGAATTTAACTGGAGCCACCTCACCAGGTGCAAGACGATGGACAAATATTTCAAAAGCATCCACAGTTGAAAGGCCACCCTTATCTGTGGCATGCATGAAAAACTCATGCCTGCCTGAATGGTTTTCATGTGGCAATCCATACATTAACTGACTAGTGCTATTGAACTGCACCCAAAAGTTTTCTTCCAGTGGTTTCTCATTTTCTAGCTTCATGGTCAGTTGTAATTTATCAGTGGTGGTATCTTCCTTATCATAGAAAGTGTCTGATGGTATTTTGAGCTCAAAGTAAGTGCCCACCCAAGCATCTACCCTGTCAATGTGGTTTTTCAACTCTGGTGGATCATTGGGAACACGGGGAACGCCAACTGTAGTGGTGCGAATGCGAGTTGGTGGTGAAACTGCTTTCTGGTCAATAAGGGATGGTTTGGTAGTCCGAGGCGGCTTTGGAGGTCGAGGAGTTTTGGTAGGTCTTGGTCTTCGTGTTGTACCAGTATCAGTAGTTGATGGTGTGGCTGGTTTTGGAGGAGTTCCTTTGGGTTTCTTTGTTGTGGGTGGTGTAATTGCTGCAGTTGCCTCTAACTGCCCAGTCATTGTTGGTCGGATCTGGCCAGGGGTAGTACTAGTTCCTTCTACCACTCTGGTTGGCTGAATTGGTCCAAGAGTTGGGGTCTGGACAATAGCACCTCTTGTTCTAATAGTAACTGTGGGTTTCTTAGGCAATGGTACAGGCTCCCTCACTGGAGGAGCGGTTGTTTCTGTGGGAGGGGCAATGGCTGGGGAGGTGGGTGTTGGAACAATCCGAATTGGTGGTTCTTGGAGGGCAGTTGTTGGAGGTCCAACAGCAGTCACAGGTGTTGGTGTAGCATTAATTTGTCGCCTTATTCTCTTTGGAAGATTAGGTTTTTTATTAGCAATGTGCCAACCAACTACAGGGTAGCCAAGATGAGCAGACATTGTTCCTTCTTTTGCTGGAGATTCAACATTGCTTATGTTCGGAACACTATTTTGGCTCAAAGAACAGCCCAATTTCCATGACAGTAAGGCTCCGTTTTCCACTACCTTCTTTGCATTCCCTGGTCCAGCCATAAAAGCTGACATGTCAAAGAGTCTATTATTTACAACAGGAACTAATTTCATGTTATAAAGTTCCACTTCTGAGAAGGTTCTCATTCGATTTAATAGTTCAATCCTCTGCTTTGGTGTCATTTTTGTTAAGTCAGCATCCAATATTACAGTCAAGATAGTGACTGGTTCCTCTGCACTACACACAAATGGTGCTGCTTCATTTGCATCTTGTGAAGCCACCCGTACGGACTGAGGTTCATTATGATCTTCAGGGTGAACCTCAATGGAAAACACATTGGTGGTTTGGGGTACATAGCTTCCATTAGAAAACAGATGCATTGCATTGACTGAGATGTAATGAATGCCTTTATCCGTATCAAGTGGGAGACCTTCCAAAGTGCTACTCTCCGATTCCCAATGCAGCCAAGGCGGCAAGGATTCTTTTCCAGCTTCCATGATCTATTAAAAAGAAAAAAAATCATAGGTAGTGACAATGTCCTTGAAACAGCAAGTAGCTAATAAACTGTTTTTGCTATTATTTATGCAACTAACATTTAAAATCTCAATAGCAAGAAGATCAGGAATATAAACTTGGAGTAGCGTAAGATAAGCCTAACTTTATAGGAGAATGAACCTAAAGAGTAAACAAGTTTGTAAACGAACACTTCCAAGATTACTGGCAGAGCTAAGAAAAGAAGGTTTTATGAAACGAAACACTGTTTTCTTTTCTGGAGCCACTGATGTGCCATAGATGACAAAAATGCAGGGATGTGTGTCCACTAAATTGTTAATAGGGGGGGGGGGGGGGAGACTGATAACTTTCACTGCCACTTTTGGAAAATTGAGTCTAAATTGATCAATGTAACATAAACCTTTCTATACCACTGCAACTTTTAAAGGACAAACCTTTTTGATAAGTCAGGTTTTTTTAGATAAGGTAATCAGGGAAATTTGGAAACCACTTCACTTTTCTGAAGTACTGCAAACCTGGCTGAAAATATGTGGACAATACAAGAAGTGTCTCAACATAATAGAGAGTGGATTAAAGAAAAAGAACGTGGTAAGTCCATCATTGTGCAGCACAGATAACATTAAAAAGTCTCTGCTAAGGGAAAATAATTTGTACCTTTGCATTTTTAAAGTGTATCTGTATTTGTAAAACACACAACAGTGGTTCTCAACCCTCCTAATGCCACAACCCCTTAATACAGTTCCTCTTGTCGCAGTGACCCCCAACCATAAAATTATTTTCGTTGCTACTTCATAACTGTAATTTTGCTACTGTTAGAAATCATAATGTAAGTATCTAATATGCAAAATGCGTTTTCATTCACCTGGACCAAATTTGGCACAAATACCTGATACGCCCAGATTTAAATACTGGTGGGAGTTGACGTTGCTGGGATTTATAGTTTACTTAGAATCAAAGAGCATTCTGAACTCCACCAATGATGGAATTGAACCAAACTTGGCACATAAATCTCCCATGACCAACAGCAAATATTGGAAGGGTTTGAGTTTTGGAGTTGTAGTTCACCTACATCCAGAGAGCACTGTGGACTCAAACAATGATGGATCTGGACCAAACTTGGCACGAATACTCAATATGTCCAAGTCTGAGCAACAGTGGAGTTTGGGGAAAGTAGACCTTGACATTTGGGAGTTGTAGTTGCTAGGATGTATAGTTCACCTACAATCAAACAGCATTCTGAACCCCACCAACAATAGATTTGGGCCAAAATTCCCATATAGAGCCCCCATGACTAACAGAAAATACTGTGTTTTCTGATGGTAGTTGGTGGCCCCTCTAACATACCCCTGGCGATCCACTCGGGTCCCAACCCCAGGTTGAGAAACGCTGACATAGAAGATCATCCACCCAAGTTCATTTCTGTAACAGTTCCATAGTTTTGCCCTGTTTATAGAAACTAATAATCTGTTTGGTATTTTCTACATACATGCGATACCATTAATAATATGTGACTCTATATCATTTATATAAGCAAACCAAAACAATACAGTATTTTACAATGCCAATACACAAATGTCCTATTGCTATAAACTTCAGCAAACATATCAATTGGAATAATGTGGAAAATACCAAACTAACTCGTATAGTACACAAGCATGGAAAACAAACACATAGGGACTATTTAAAACAGTGTAACAAATGTAATATTCATGTTTTCCAAAATAATTAATCCGATCTTTCAAAGGTCGTGTGGACAAACTTCAACATATCCAATATTGTCCCATGTGAATTCAAAATGTGATAAAAAGTCTTGGGAATACAAGGTTCCCAGGTGTTCATAATTCTTGTTTCAGGAGGAGTATCCCTTCTTCAAAGGTTTCTTCATTCGTTTGAAATAATATCTTCTGAGGCTTTATAGACTAAATTTTAAAAGGACAAAATAATAGATATGCTAACCAGCTCCCAGTTACAATATGATAATCCTTATATAAACAATTTAACACAATAACATACTTACTTCCACTTGCTGAATGAATGGCTCTGCTGCGAGATTTCAAAAAGGGTAGAGTACTACTGACTTCCATTAGCTAGTGATTAGGTCAAAGACGCTACTCCCTTTTAAAGATTATCAGCTAATTACAGGCAATTACAGAAAACAAGTAAGATAAAATCTGTCATTTAAATCATGCGGGTGTACTATCTGTAGCTTCGATACCCAAAAGGCTTCCCTCTGTAGTAAAATTATTTTTATGCCTCCATGAGGTTTTGTGATGATCCTTTCTAGAGCAGAAAACCTAAAGCTAGTATAGGAAGGAGATTTTTCAATGAAATGCGAGTAGAGGGTGGAATCTGAAGCTTTATTTTTAACCCAGGAGCAGTGTTCAAGGATTCTGATTTTTAAAGGTCTGTTTGTCATACTTACATAGAGGAGCTCACAGGGACATTGGATTAAGTAAACGACTCGATCTGTGTACCTGTGGTAAAAGTTCGTAGTTGTACGTTGAATTTCAAGGTAGGATGTGTGAAATGTTTAATTTTGAGTGACTGCATGCAATAAATGCAATGTCCACAGTTAAAGTGGCCTCCTGGAGAGCTGGCCAAGCACGCTGTCTCTGAGGGCACCAAGGCCGTCACCAAGTACACCAGCTCCAAGTAGAACTACCAACTGTCTTGGTTTGAGTTTGCTTCTACCATTTGGAAACTAAATAGACCCACGTTAACGGCAGTCTCTTAGGATGTAACAAGAGCACCTGCTTGTCCAGTTTTGATGGATTCATTTCAATTAGATTAGCTTGAGGATGTGGACAGGATCCTTAGAGAGGCGAGGCCAACCACATGCATCCTAGACCCCTGCCCACCCTGGCTGTTGAAAGAAGCCAGAGGGGGTTTGGCAGAATGAGTTAAGGTGGTGGTTAATGCCTCCCTACAGGAAGGCAAGATTCCAGCCAGCCTAAAACAGGTTGTTATAAAACCGCTGTTGAAAAAACCATCACTGGACCCCACTCAATTAGTTAACTATTGGCCAGTATCCAATCTCCCCTACTTGGGCAAAGTCATGGAACGTGTGGTGGCTTCACAACTCCAGGGGTTCCTGGTAGACACTGATGATCTTGATCCGGCACAGTCTGGCTTTAGGTTGGTCATGGTACTGAAACAGCCTTGGTCGCCTTGGTAGATGATCTATGCCAGGAGCTAGACAAGGGGAGTGTGTCCCTGTTAGTTTGCTGGACCTCTCAGTGGCCTTCAATACCGTTGACCACGGTATCCTTCTGAGACACCTCACAGAAATTGGACTTGGAGGTACTGCTTTGCAATGGCTCCGGTCCTTCCTGGAGGGACGGTCCCAGAAGGTGTTATTGGGTGACACCTGTTCGGCTCCACAACCGTTGTTTTGTGGAGTCCCTCAGGGCTCAGTACTGTCCACGATGTTATTTAACATCTACATGAAGCTGCTGGGGGAGATCATCCGGAGTTTCGGACTAAGGTGTTATCTGTACACAGATGACATCCAAATCTGTCACTCCTTCCCACCTGTTACTAAGGAGGCTATTCAGACCTTGAATCGGTGCTCGGCTGCTGTGTCGGACTGGATGAGGGCTAACAAATTGAAATTGAATCCAGACARGACAGAGATCCTCCTGCTCAGTCGAAAGGCCGAACAGGGCATAGGGTTACAGCCTGTGTTGGATGGGGTTACACTCCCCCTGAAGACGCAGGTCTGAAGCTTGGGAGTGATCCTGGATTCATTGCTGAGCCTGGAACCCCAGGTCTCGGCGGTGGCCAGGGGAGCTTTTGCACAATTAAAGCTTGTGCACCAGTTGCACCCGTACCTTGGGAAGTCTGACTTGGCCACGGTGGTCCACACTCTGGTTACATCCCGAATAGATTACTGCAACACACTCTATGTGGGGTTGCCTTTGAAGACTGTTCGGAGACTTCAATTAGTCCATACGCCTCAGGCCCAGTTTACTTATCCGAACGTATCTCTCTCTACATTCCACCTCTTAATTTAAGATCTACTGGGGAGGCCCTGCTCTTAGTCCCACCAGCGTCTCAAACGCGTCTGGTGGGACGAGGGACAGGGCCTTCTCAATGGTGACCCCCTTGCTTGTGGAATTCGCTCCCCAGCGAGATTAGATCGGCGTCCTCCCTCCTTACTTTTAGGAAAAAACTAAAGACGTGGTTTTGGAGCCAGGCCTTTGGCTAGTGGGCACAGCAGCACTTTAGGCATTGAACTCGGACAATTGTTTCATAACAATGTTATGAAAATTGGAAATGGCTATATGACTTGTGATTATGTGATTTGTTCTATGTGATTATGTACTTTTAATAAACATCACTGTTTATTTGTTATGTAACAGGATTTTATATTGTTGGTTTATATTGTTGTTATTGATACTGTTGGCATTGAATTGTTGCCTGTGTTAGCTGTCCTGAGTCCCCCCTCGGGGGTGAGAAGGGCGGGGGTAGAAATGGTGTAAATAAATAAATAAATAAATAAATAAGTTTGTATTTCTTATAGTGATGTTGGGAGTTATGAAGTCAGAACTAATTAGCATGTCCTTGAGGTTTCTCGAGCATTTATACACTATCATAGGTAAGTTTTGGCATCCTAGGATATCCTTATTTAGTTGCCAATGTTTCCTCACTATTTTGTTGATTTCTGGAGTAAACTGTGTCAAGGTCAATGGCAAACAATAAGGGTCAGTGTGTTTTTTTTGGTTAGGTCTCTTAATAAATCGGTTCTATCTATAGAGCTTACTTTTTTGATAGCTGTGTTGATGATTCTAGTTGGATAACCTCTCTCACTGAACTGTTTCTTAAAGATGGACATTTCTGTTGTGAAATCCTTGGGAGTACTGGTATTACATTTCAACCTCAGGAATTGTGAAAAAGGTGAATTGGACTTCAATTTATGGTGGCGGAAGCTAGAATAATGTAATATAGAATTTTGTCTGTTGGGTACTTGTAAATTTTATATTTTCAT